CTGTGCACGATTAGGGTCACAAGTGACATGGTCCTTAGGCAAATAGATAAATTAAAACCTAACAAATCCCCAGGCCCTGATGAACTGTATGCAAGGGTTCTAAAGGAATGTAAAGAGGAGCTTAGAACACCTTTGGCTAATCTTTTCAACATATCACTACAAACTGGCATGGTGCCAGATAAGTGGAAAATGGCAAATGTGATACCTATTTTCAAAACAGGTGACAGGTCCTTAGCTTCGAACTATAGATCAATAAGCCTAACCTCCATAGTGGGAAAATTTATGGAATCAATAATTGCCGAGGCAGTTCGTAGCCACCTTGAAAAGCATAAATTAATCAACGAATCTCAGCATGGTTTTACAAAGGGGCGTTCCTGCCTTACGAATTTATTAACGTTTTTCACTAAGGTATTTGAGGAGGTAGATCATGGTAATGAATATGATATTGTGTATATGGACTTCAGTAAGGCTTTTGACAGGGTCCCACATCAGAGACTATTGAGGAAAATTAAAGCACATGGAATAGGAGGAGAAATTTTTTCCTGGATAGAGGCATGGTTGACAAATAGGCAGCAGAGAGTTTGCATAAATGGGGAGAAATCAGAGTGGGGAAGCGTCACGAGCGGTGTTCCACAGGGGTCAGTGTTGGGCCCCCTGCTGTTCACAATCTACATAAACGACATAGATGAGGGCATAAAGAGCGACATCGGCAAGTTTGCCGATGACACCAAAATAGGCCGTCGAATTCATTCTGACGAGGACATTCGAGCACTCCAGGAAGATTTGAATAGACTGATGCAGTGGTCGGAGAAGTGGCAGATGCAGTTTAATATAGACAAATGCAAAGTTCTAAATGTTGGACAGGACAATAACCATGCCACATATAAACTAAATAATGTAGATCTTAATATTATGGATTGCGAAAAAGATTTAGGAGTTCTGGTTAGCAGTAATCTGAAACCAAGACAACAGTGCATAAGTGTTCACAATAAAGCTAATAGAATCCTTGGCTTCATATCAAGAAGCATAAATAATAGGAGTCCTCAGGTTGTTCTTCAACTCTATACATCATTGGTTAGGCCTCATTTAGATTATGCTGCACAGTTTTGGTCACCGTATTACAGAATGGATATAAATTCTCTGGAAAATGTACAAAGGAGGATGACAAAGTTGATCCCATGTATCAGAAACCTTCCCTATGAGGATAGACTAAGGGCCCTGAATCTGCACTCTCTAGAAAGACGTAGAATTAGGGGGGATATGATTGAGGTGTATAAATGGAAGACAGGAATAAATAAAGGGGATGTAAATAGTGTGCTGAAAATATCTAGCCTAGACAGGACTCGCAGCAATGGTTTTAAGTTGGAAAAATTCAGATTCAGGAAGGATATAGGAAAGTACTGGTTTGGTAATAGAGTTGTGGATGAGTGGAACAAACTCCCGAGTACAGTTATAGAGGCCAGAACGTTGTGTAGCTTTAAAAATAGGTTGGATAAATACATGAGTGGATGTGGATGGGTGTGAGTTGGACCTGATAGCTTGAGCTACCAGGTAGGTTGCCGTGTTCCTCCCTTAATTCAATGTGACCTGACCTGACTAGGTTGGGTGCATTGGCTTAAGCCGGTAGGTGACTTGGACCTGCCTCGCATGGGCCAGTAGGCCTTCTGCAGTGTTCCTTCGTTCTTATGTTCTTAAGTGCCTGCTAGTAATGGACAATGCACCTGCTCATCCTCCAAACTTGGATGACCTAATTTTCGAGGAGTTTGGGTTCATCACAATAAAGTTCTTGCCCCCGAATACCACTCCTCTCCTCCAACCCATGGACCAGCAGGTTATTGCAAACTTTAAAAAACTCTACACAAAAGCAATGTGGCACAGGTGCTTGACTGTAACCACAGACACTCACTTGACCCTAAGGGAATTTTGGAGAGAACACTTCAGCATCCTCCACTGCATAACCCTTATAGGTATGGCTTGGGAGGGAGTGACTACCAGGACTTTGAGCTCTGCCTGGAGAAAATTGTGGCCAGATTGTCAACAAGAGGGATTTTGAAGGATTTGGGACTGACCCTATGTCTGTTGTAAAATCAATTGTGGCACTGGGGAGTTCCATGGGGTTGGATGTGAGTTTGGAGGATGTGGAAGAATTGGTGGAAGACCACAATGAAGAGCTCACCACTGAGGAGCTGCAAGAGCTTCAGCAGGAAGAGCAACAGATCACAGCTCAGAATCTTGCTGCAGAGGAGGAGTAAGAGAGATGGAAGAAGGTGCCTTCAGAAATTCAAGAGATTTTTACTATGTGGGGTAAGATGGAAAGCTTTATGGAGAAACATCACCCTAACAAGGTTGTTGCAAGCCAGGTTGGCAACATGTACAGTGACGAAGTCTTGGGCCATTTTAGGGAAGTGTTAAAGAGATGCCAGAAACAGAGCTCTCTCCACAGTTATTTTGTGAGACAGGACTCCAGTGACTCTCAAGGTGGTCCTAGTGGCATTAAGAAACAGAGAAGAGAAGCAACCCCAGAAAAGCAAATGGTACCTGAGGTGTTGATGGAAGGGGATTCCCCTTCCAAACTATAAACAATCCACTCTCTCTCCTCCTCCAGTCTCCCATACACTAAGAAGAATCTCCAATAAAGGTAAGTGTTATGCTGTTAATGTTTCATTCATCATTTCCCATTGTATTGTTTGTACTACATGTATATTTCATGTTAAAAATTTTTTTGTTTTAATACTTCTGGGTGTCAGGAACGGATTAATTGTATTTACATTATTTCTTATGGGGAAAATTGATTCGTAAATCGTAAATTTCGTTTATAGTAATGGCTCCAGGAACGGATTAATTACGAAAAACGAGGGACCACTGTATAGCACTTTGACTGGATTTTTTGGGTTATCGTAGGTAATTTATACTATGTATGATAACTTCACTTACGTGTACCTGTGTGTGAGAGAGAGAGATACAGAGAGAGAGAGAGAGAGAGCGACAGCGAGAGTGAGAGAGACAGCGAGAGTGAGAGAGACAGCGAGAGTGAGAGAGACAGCGAGAGTGAGAGAGACAGCGAGAGTGAGAGAGACAGCGAGAGTGAGAGAGACAGCGAGAGTGAGAGAGACAGCGAGAGTGAGAGAGACAGCGAGAGTGAGAGAGACAGCGGAGGAGCGCGAGAGAGAGACAGCGAGAGTGAGAGAGACAGCGAGAGTGAGAGAGACAGCGAGAGTGAGAGAGACAGCGAGAGTGAGAGAGACAGCGAGAGTGAGAGAGACAGCGAGAGTGAGAGAGACAGCGAGAGTGAGAGAGACAGCGAGAGTGAGAGAGACAGCGAGAGGAGAGAGACAGCGAGAGGGAGAGAGACAGCGAGAGGGAGAGAGACAGCGAGAGGGAGAGAGACAGCGAGAGGGAGAGAGACAGCGAGAGCGAGAGAGACAGCGAGAGGAGAAGACAGCGAGAGGAGAGAACAGCGAGAGCGAGAGAGACAGCGAGAGCGAGAGAGACAGCGAGAGCGAGAGAGACAGCGAGAGCGAGAGAGACAGCGAGAGCGAGAGAGACAGCGAGAGCGAGAGAGCACGAGCGAGAGAAGCGAGAGAGAACGAAGCGAGGGAGCGAGAGAGGACAGCGAGAGCGAGAGAGAGAGAAGACAGCGAGAGCGAGAGAGAGACAGCGAGAGCGAGAGAGACAGCGAGAGCGAGAGAGACAGCGAGAGCGAGAGAGACAGCGAGAGCGAGAGAGACAGCGAGAGCGAGAGAGACAGCGAGAGCGAGAGAGACAGCGAGAGCGAGAGAGAGCAGCGAGAGCGAGAGAGACAGCGAGAGAGAGACAGGAGAGGAGAGAGACAGCGAGAGGAGAGAGACAGCGAGAGGGAGAGAGACAGCGAGAGGGAGAGACAGAGAGGAAGAGACAGCGAGAGGGAGAGACAGGAGAGGAGAGACAGCGAGAGGGAGAGAGACAGCGAGAGGGAGAGAGACAGCGAGAGGGAGAGAGACAGCGAGAGGGAGAGAGACAGCGAGAGGGAGAGAGACAGCGAGAGGGAGAGAGACAGCGAGAGGGAGAGAGACAGCGAGAGGGAGAGAGACAGCGAGAGGGAGAGAGACAGCGAGAGGGAGAGAGACAGCGAGAGGGAGAGAGACAGCGAGAGGGAGAGAGACAGCGAGAGGGAGAGAGACAGCGAGAGGGAGAGAGACAGCGAGAGGGAGAGAGACAGCGAGAGGGAGAGAGACAGCGAGAGGCGAGAGAGACAGCGAGAGCGAGAGAGACAGCGAGAGCGAGAGACAGCGAGAGCGAGAGAGAGACAGCGAGAGAGATAGAGAGAGAGAGACAGCCACATTCAGCCAGCCAGCCAACCAACCCGCCGGCCACCCACCCACCCACCTGGCCAGCCAGCCGGATACGTATTACACATGTTCCAGAGTTGTTTCTCTTTACTTAGGGTATAGGTTATACAACATTCTGGCAGGATGACACTACCAGTGGTTTTCTCCCATTCCACTGTGTTGACAATACTTAAAGATAACAGTAACATATGATACTGTATGCGATGTAAAATTTACAATACATATCACTACCATGTATACATTATATACAGTACATAAATAATTAAAATATAACAATAGAAATAAATTATGGTCAAAAGAATGATATAATGATTGTACATTACATTACAGTACTATGTAGGTAGTTTATATAGGAAAGGTTTGACATTATGCCCTACCCAGTATGTCGGCAACTTTCAAAGGCTCGACTTACGTTCATTTTGACTTACAACCAATTGGTCGGAACCAAGCATGGTCGTAAGTCGGATGGTAGGTGTACTTAATGTAGACTTCATATGTTTCTGTATTGAGCTTTTCCATACATTGATTTGGGTTAATATTGTTTAGGATGGTTTCCAAGGAATATTTGATAGTTCCTTATTTATTTTATACAGTATATTCTCTGTTAAAGCTAATTGACATATTTTATATTCATGAACAAGGTTTATAACATTCGTATTTTTTCTGGTTCAGTTGCAGAGGAAGAAGGCCAAAATCCTGGGCATCATGTCATGGAGTTCTTTGAGATGTGTGCAGCACTCATAACAGAATTAGCACGATAAGATAGTATATTTAGCTACTTCTGTACATCATTGATACCTGCTGTGCCTATGGACCTTGGTTTATTGATAAATTAAATATCATGTATGTATGACATTTATGTATAAAGCTAAAACATGAACAGTTCACTTGCAGTACTTATTTGCCACCCAAAATGTTTGGATTAGCACAATGTGTGTACAGTTGTTTTTATTTACCTTTTTGTATATAATTAATTTATATTATTGGTGGTAAAATGAAAAATGTCATTATGCTCCTAAATTATTTTAACTTGTTCTCTAGTTTATTGTGAATAAGAGATTTCTGTATATATGACTGACTGAAAAGGATCTAGAAAATGCTATTCATCTTGTATATTTGATATATTATTCCTTCTAGGAACTCGGTAACCTCAGACATGTCAACATTTGACATTTATGGACATCATAAAACAGGTGTTTTAGTTTGTGGTCTTGTTCCTTGTAAATTTTGTTAACTGCTGCTGCATACAGACTTCAAAATGTGGCAAGACAGTTGTTTAGCAAGGCTGGCCTTATTAGACAAGATTTGTTCAAGTGTTAGCTTCATCAAGAATTGGATAAAGCTCACACTTTAGCATAGAGCTTCCACTTGAACAAAAAGTTCTCTTAATTTACTGACATGTTCAGTAAGGCATTTGAGGCAGAGGACCATAGTAGGAAAAGACAATGATATTTAATTGTACTTTTGTAAGGGTTGTGATAGTGTCCCCCCCACATAAAGTAAATCAGAATGGGACCAGTTAAAAATGTTGTTCTGCATTTTTTTTTTCAGTAATATACATTAATGACCTTCATGAAGGATGAACTTCAGGATGTTTTGGGCAAGTTAATGTAGTCAAGAAATTTATAAAAGCAGTTCATTGTGGACATGTACAATGTCCTAAGCCTTGGGAATGCTTGCCTATGGTAAGCAGAACCCTGAAGATAAGACAGCACATTTACAACTGTTTAAGAGGGTGTGTCAAGAAGAAAGTTGGAAGTGAACATAGATAAGAGTAAGGTGATGAGAGTATCAAGAGTTAGGTAAAGAAAAATTTATATCAGATTGGAGGGAGGGAGTATGGAAGAAGCAAATGTGTTCAGATATTTGGGAGTAGACTTGTCCGCAGATATGTTTATAAAGGACGAGGTAAACCGTAGAATTGATGAAGGGAAAAAGGTGGGTAGTGCATTGAGGTATCTATGGAGACAAAGAACATTATCCATGGAGGCAAAGAAGGGAATATATGAGAGTATAGTAGTACCAACATTCATATATGGGTGTGAAGCATGGGTTGTGAATGTTGCAGCGAGGAGGAGACTGGAGGCATTGGAGATGACATGTTTGAGGGCAATGTATGGCATAAATATTATGCAGAGAATTCATAGTGTGGAAATTAGGAGGTGGTGTGGAGTTACTAAAAGTATTATTCAGAAGGCCGAGGAGGAGTTGTTGAGATGGTTCATCATTTAGAGAGAATGGAACACAATAGGATGACTTGGAGGGTGTATAAATTTGTAATGGATGAGTAGGGAGCATCCTGAGAAAGGATGGAGGGAGGGGGTAAAAGAGATTTTGTACATGCAGCAGACGAGTGAGCGTGTTAGGAGTGAGTGGAGATGAATGGTTTTTGGGACTTGACAAGCTGTTGGAGCATGAGCAAGGTAGTATTTTGTGAAGGGATTCAGGGAAACCGGTTAGCCGGACTTAGTCCTGGAGGTGAAAAATACAGTGTCTGCACTCTGAAGGAGGGGTGGGGATATTTGCAGTTTTGAACTGCAGTATTGGCACACATCTGGCAAGACAGTGATGATGAAAGCATTTTTTTCTTTTTTGGGTCACCCTACCTCAGTGGGAGATGGTTGATGTGTTCAAAAAAAAAAAAATGGAGCGTGACGATATCTAACCAAGAAAGAACTTGAAACAATAAATTTAAGTTAGATGAATTTAGATTTAGAAAGAATATGGGAAAATTTTGGTTTGGCAATATGGTTTAGTTGATGAGGAGAAGAAACTGAGTAGTAATCATTGATGCTAATACCATGGGTAGCTTTAAAAATACATTAGAAAAATAAGAGTGATAAGGATTTAGGGCAAGGATCTGTTGAGCATGGGCCAGTAGGCATATTGCAATGCTCCTTTATTTTTGTATTTGTATGTTCAGCAATAAGCTCACACTTGAACATACAGCTTTCACTACAGAAAAAAAAAATGAGCATAATCACACTTCAGCACAATCTGTCGAATAAAGACTAGCCTTGCTAAGTACCTTAGTTATACCCTTGTCAGAAATTTTAGTCATAGTAGATAGTGTGGGAATACTGACTAGTAGTAGTCAAGACATGCAAGCAACAATTGGAAACAATTAAATCTCCATTTTGCTTACACAGTAGACTCAAGTTTGATCACTTAAAGCCTGCTGTGCAGATGAAGCATAGTCTTAATGTAGTTAACAATTGCTGCTTGTGTGTCATTATCAACAATTTCACTGTCACTTGAGAATGTGAATCCATTGACTGGTTTTCTTTGATTGGCTTAAGATTTGTATCTCATTTATTTCTTGAAATTCTCAAAATTTCCATCACATTATGGAACTTGCCACGTACACTGCAAAATAAAATTCTTAGAGTTCAGAAAATGGGCACCAGTAAAGGAAAACTATATGATAGTTTTTGGAAATTGTAATTTGAAGCACATTGAGCAATGGAGCTTCCCAAACAGAGCTGCTGTTTAAATAACATGATATTGTTACTTATGTTTCATTTTTTTTCCATTTCACTATTAAGTTCCCAAGTTGAATATAAACATCCTGTTAAAATGTTCAGTAGTGTATCCATTTTTGAAGAACTTTTGTTTTTAGCCTTCATATTACTTTCATCTTATCTTTTCACACATTACTTTCTGCCTTCAAATTTTCCACCATCTTCCATTTCAGGATCATTTGATGATGAATAAAAAGGCACAATACCGTGACTGGAACAATACATAAATAACCCTCACATAAAAAGAAACTAATGGCAACATTTCGGTCTGACTTGGACCATTAACCCTTTGACTGTCGCATCCCCAAATCCTGAGGTGTCTCCTGGTGCCGAAAAATTTTTGGAAAAAAAAAAAATTATTTTCCCTCTTGAAATGATAGAGAATCTTTTCCCAATGGTAATGACACCAAAAGAACAAAATTTGATGGAAAATTTACGGAATTATGCTCTTGCGAAGTTAGCGACTTAGGCGATATTTACAAATCGGCGATTTCGCCCACTTTGAGCCCTATTTTTGGCTAATTCCATTGTTCCAGTCGACCAAACTCATAGTATTTCTTTACAGTTCCATTTGTTCTATCGATTGAGTACAAGAAACTGCCCATTTACTGATTTCAACTACCCAATAATGTGGTCAGAAATTTGCAATTTGGCCAGTTTCACGCAAATTAAAAAAATGTCAATTTTAAAACGGTCCAGGATGAACAGTGCAGGCATTCCTGGCTCTAAAATAACATTTTCTTTGTTCATCAGTCACGTCTCTAGGCCCCTCTGATATTACTCTTGCTTTCTATTTTGAATTTTTATTCAAACAAAAAATAGAAGATTTACTGTTATGCAGACTACTGCAATACTGTAATAATTGTATAAATAATGTCAACCCATTTATGGCTGCACATTAGAATGGCTAGTTGGACATTTATTGGACAATGACATTACTTTAGAACATCAGCATAAATCAAACATTTCCCCTACTTTGAGCTCCATTTCAAGGTTTTTTTCATAGTAAAACCAGTCAAAATCACCCCTATTTCTATTATATGTTTTCCATTCTATCAAATGAGACCACAAAAACGAGAATACAGCCATAAATATTATACGAAAATACACCACAAAGTCGGCATTTTAATCCAAAAACACGGTCTGAGTTTTTTTTTTCTCATCATGCATTGCATGCTGCAGGATTTTTTTATATGGTGCACACTGACCACACAAACCCATTCTCTCACATGTGGGCCTACCAGCTTTCTCCTGCTTGATTTGAAGCTGCTAGAATTTTTGAGTATATATACGTTAAACACAGTGGTTCATAAGACATATATATACGACCGAAACAGTCAAAGGGTTAACTAGTCACTTCAGTATCCCATTACCTAGGTCTATCTATTGGTATATGTAATTCTTTAACATCCTCTCCTGTTCTTTTGAAAACATTACATATGTGTAGCTAGTGTTCTTCACTAGTGCTTGTATTTCTTCATTCCACCACCTATAATTACTGTAACCATTTCTAATTTTCTTTCTTGTATAGTATAAGATTTGCTTCTTTCTTTGTACTGTATAAAATCACTATACAGTTAAACTTTCACCTTCACTGATGTATTTTTGACAGTAGTCTTCTAGCATCTTTTGACACCATCTTGCCTCTTTTTCACTTCGACACTTTAGGGTTTGTACAGTCACTTTGTCCTTATCCTCAACTTTCATTGTAAAACATGTTGGTCTAAATTTGCAGTGAAGTGTTTCCTTTATTGCTGCTGCATTTACTTCACCTTGATTCTGTTTTCTTCTGTTATGTAGTTTTAAAATTTCTTATCAAATGAAGTACCGTAAGTTTAAGAAATTAATTTTAATAAAAGCACACTGAATACATAGACTTCTATAATTAACTCTCCATTTGGATTAATGCCAGACACCATCTTATCTTTCACTTGTTTATAAGTTTACACCTGTATTCATCTTGCACTGAACAGTTACTTTTTTTATCTAGCAATCATTTAATACATCACAAAAAGTTTTTATCTTTCCAGTCTTATCTGATTCCTTACCTACAAGGCCCATCCATAAGTCCTTAATTAACACACAATAACATTTGAAATATTTTAAAATATATTGTCTCTTAGAAAAAGAAGTCTTTGAAGAAATCATTATCTCGTATTGTTATTTTTTTAAGGTATAATTCAGTCTCAGATTTAGAAAAGATTGTTTAACTTTATATAAAAAAAATGCCTACAAAGAATATCTTTTATAAGTATGTATGAATGATGGAGATCATGGAAGAGGTATGAACAGACTGAATAGGATCTGAAAGATTATTTTTGAAAGAAAAGCAGAAGTTTGTGATGCCTTATTTCACATGTAGAAAGCTGGGAGAAATTTGCAGAGTGAAAAGGTGGCATAATTTTTACTTACATTGTAGATCACTGTTCACAGTATATTATAGTAAGAAAACTAAAAAATAGTCATTGCTTGTTCTCTTATTGTTCTCTTCTTTATATTTGTCACATTGTTTTGAATGCTTGCTTATATATTCTCATCTTTAATCTAAATACAGCTGTACCTTGAGTTTTGAATAGCTCCTAACTCGAACAGTTATGCAAGTGCATTTTTGTAAGTGCTTTTGTAAGTGTATTTTTGGGGATCTGAAATGGACTAATCTAATTTACATTATTTCTTATGGAAACAAATTCGTTCGGTATCAGCACTTGAACAGCCTGCTGGAACGAATTAAGTTCGTAACTCGAGGTACCACTGCATTAGCAGAGCTTTTGTTTCTCTTCCATTAGCGTTGTGCATCCTTGTGAATATTATGGTAATTGGCTCACTTGCCGAGAGCTTTTATTTCTTTTACTTAAAATAATTACTGTACATTATTTTCTTAAACGTTTTACTTTGATCATATCTTCTATTTATGGATTAATGTTTCTTGTAATGATAGATACTTATTGTGTGGCTGTCAGGTTACTGTGTTGTAAACTGGGCAATGCTTTTATTATAGCTGTTGGGCTGTGAAACTTAGTGGTATGATGATTGACACTTTTTAGGATTGCTTATGCCAAACTGCTTTGATCACAAAAATATTTAGTATAGTATATTAAAAAGTTATTATCACTTATTGCACATTATGGTGTTCTAGATTTTCTTTACTAAAGTGAAATGTTAAAAAAAATTTATATTTTGAAAGATTCGGGAGCAATCTACAGTGGACCCCCGGTTAACGATATTTTTTCACTCCAGAAGTATGTTCAGGTGCCAGTACTGACCGAATTTGTTCCCATAAGGAATATTGTGAAGTAGATTAGTCCATTTCAGACCCCCAAACATACATGTACAAATGCACTTACATAAATACACTTACATAATTGGTCGCATTCGGAGGTGATCGTTATGCGGGGGTCCACTGTATTTTGTCAAAAATGTCTCGACTTCCTTTGTAGTAAGAAACATGCAATAAGTACAAGTTAGATGACCCTAGTAACTGATACAGTTCAACATACCCATGATAGTGAACCTTTAAAGTGTACCTCATTTTAAAATCTATGTATGTAGTTAAAAAAAAAATATTGTATCAGTAAGATTTCAGGTTTTCAATATTTTAACTCAAAAATAAACATAAATGATTAAGTTATTGATGCTTATTGAACTTTTGTTATTGCAAGTGAATGATTAACGTGCTAGGTTTTGTATTTTGAAATAGAGACACAAGTTACAAAAACAATATAATTTGATCATAACATCATAGAGGTTCAAATGAGTATTAACCCAGGGTTAGGAAACTGCGTCACTAATATTAGAGACGGGATGTTCAGCAAGTCCAATTTTAACAACCATAGAATTGACTGGGAAAAAATAAACCAAGAGCTATCAGACATACCCTGGGAATCAGACATGAGCACCCTAAATCCCCACCAGTGCCTAGAGAAGCTGAACACAGCGTACAAGGTATGTATGAAACACATACCATTGAGGAAACCCAGAAGAAGATAAGATATAGAGAGAGAGCATAGGAGATGGTACAGAAGAAGAAAATGGGTTACTGAATTGCTTAAGAACACAAATATGCTACAACAGAGGAAAGATAGACTTAGCCGAGAGATCACTGAATTAGAGCAAAAACTTAGGATGTCATACCTCACAGAAGATATACAAAGGGAACAAAGGGCCATACAGGATATTGCAAGAAACCCAAAATATTTCTATTCCTACGCAAAATCCAAGCTAAGAACTACCTGTAGAATTGGACCACTACTGAGAGGAGACTCGTATACTGACGATGAACAGGAAATGAGTAAAATCCTAAAAGAACAGTGTGAGTCGGTGTTCAGCAACCCACTAAATGACAGCAAGGTAGAAAATGCAGAAATATTTTTCATTCCAGAAGAAGGCCGCGCAGACCAAGTAACTGACATTAGTACAAATCCCATAGTTTTCGAAAAAGAAATGGAAAAAATGCCCACTCACTCAGCACCTGGACCAGATTCATGGAATGTTCTGTTTAAAAAGAAGTTCAAAGTACCACTAGCACGAGCCCTCAGTATTCTTTTGAGAAAGAGCTTAGATCTAGGTGAAATACCGGAGGCCTTAAAGAGTGCAGACATAGCTCCTTTGCATAAGGGAGGTAGTAGAGCACTAGCTAAAAATTACAAACCAGTAGCCCTAACCTCGCACGTTATAAAAATCTTCGAAAGAGTGATGAAACAGCAGATTACAAATTTCCTGGAGCAGCACAACCAACATAACCCAAACCAGCATAGTTTTAGAGCAGGATGATCATGCCTGTCACAGCTGCTGAACCATTATGACAGAATTAGAGGCATTGGAAAACAACCAAAACGCAGATGTGATTTACACAGATTTTGCAAAGGCGTTTGACAAATGCGATCATCGGGTGATAATGCAAAAAATGAAGTCCATGGGCATTACGGGGAAGGTAGGCAGATGGATTTTCGGTTCCTAACACGGAACACAAAAAGTAGTAGTGAACAGGGCAAGATCCAGCATCAGCGAGGTAAAAAGCTCAGTGCCCCAAGGCACTGTCCTGGCACCTCTGCTGTTTCTCATCCTCATAGCAGACATAGACAAAAACACCCAGCACACTTTTGTATCATCATTTACAGATGACACCAAAATAAGCATGGAAGTCAGTATGGTAGAGGACACTGAAAAAGTACAGGAAGACATAAACAGGGTTTTCCAGTGGGCAGTGGATAACATGACATTCAGTGGTGATAAGTTCCAGCTGCTTAGGTATGAAAAGAATGAAGAACTCAAAAGGAACACCATATACAAAACTCAAGAGGGTCACCAATAGAACGTAAGGAACACGTAAAAGACTTAGGAATAATTATGTCAGCAGACCTTTCTTTTGAAGACCATAACAGGACAAAGATCATGACAGCCAGGAAGATGACAGGGTGGGTGTTGAGAACTTTCAAAAGAAGGGAAATAATGCCGATGGTGACACACTTCAAATCGCTAGTGCTCCCTCACTTAGAATATTGTATATAGTACATGTATGTTGGTAGAATTACTGACAATATGTAAAGTAAAAGGACACAAGTGCAACTAATGTGACATTTTATTGTGGTAACGTTTTGCTCTCCAGGAGCTTTGTCAACGGCTTGGCAAAGCTCCTGGAGAGCGAAACGTTGCCACAATAAAATGTCACATTAGTTGCACTTGTGTCCTTTTACTTTATAGTTTGAATATTGCTCAGTGCTGACGGCCCCATTCAGAGCAGGAGAAATATTGGAGCTGGAACAAATACAGAGATCATTTATGGCTCACATTGAGCCTGTAAAGCGCCTAAACTACTGGGAATGCCTGCAAGTCTTCAACATGTATTCATTGGAGCAGAGAAGAGAGAGATGCATGATAAGATATACCTGGAAAATACTCGAGGGCCTGGTCCCAAATCTGCACATTGCCATAACAACATACTGGAGTGAGAGATATGGGAGGAAGTGTAAAATAAACCCAGTGAGGAGCAGGGGTGTGGTGGGGACAGTAAGGGAACACTGTATCAACATCCAGGATCCCAGACTATTCAAATCTTACCAGAAGATATCAGAAACATGGCTGGAACAAGTGTAGAAGCCTTCAAGAGGAAACTGGACAAGTATCTTCACCAGATGCGAGATCAACCAGGCTGTGAGGGATATGTGGAGCAGCGGGCCTCCAGCAGCAACAGCCTGGTTGACCAGGCAAGCACCAGACGAGCTCAGAGAGTAGATAAACTCTTGAAACTCTTCAAAGGTATATCAGAGGTAAGGTAGCTTAAATATTATGGTACTGTACTTTGAAAAGGTGATTTATGTGGGTTCTATGACTCTGTAAGAATACGTGCATTGCTCTAGCTCATAGTACAGCCCAAGTGTTAAAAGCCCTGTTTCCTCAATCCTCACCCAGGTGTTTACTCTGTCCTCTTCTAGCTACTTGCCATTGGAAAACCCTCTTGAAAAAATCTCACATTGCAGCCCTGTACTGTATCTTATCAGTCAAGCATGGATGGTGTTATGTGCTGAAGTCATGGATCCACTGAGGCATAGGTAATTTCTTTCCTGTATTAAAGTACTGTATTCTGTACCACCCCCTCCAAGGAAAGGTGCCATAACATCGGTGGAGACAAGGCTCTTGATCTGAAGAATTGAAGGCATTTTCTTTTCTCACCTCAGACTGAACTTAAATACACTTTTTACCCCCACATCCTCCATTCAAGGGGGGCTCCTTGGTGCAGTGAAGAGGATCTTGGTCTGAGGAATTTGACCTTTTGGTCTCCTTCAGACCGAACCTAATTAACCCCCAATCCCCCCCCTCCCCTATTTCATCCTCCCCATCCCCAGTTTTTTTTTCCTTCCTCCCCCCACCTAGCCCTCCCCTTTTTCCTGTTCCATTTGTAACCTCTGGGGTCCTCCCCTCTGGCATTACAGTTTTGAGGTAGGGGGAAGTGTGCCGGAGTTCATCCCACTCCGTGAGGTTCCTCGGGTGTAGTGTAGTTTGCCGTGGAATCTGGAGGCACCCTGCTCTCTTCCTAGATTTCTGAGAAGTGGGCGGGATGCCCTGCAGGTGACTGATGTATCTCCAGAGGCTGAATGTCAGTTCTGGGAGGTGGCAGCTGAAGGAGGTATGCTTTGTGGCAGGTTTCCGACTGCCCTCTCTTTTGTCTGCCAAGGTGGCTCAGTAGATGTGAGGTTGCTATTATGGAGCCCTGGTTTACTGGCGTAATGCATCTGCACTGTTTATGGTCTCAAGGTCCTCTCAGATGAGAGGAGGAACTTATGGCACTTTCATGCCTTCTAGTGACTGTCCCTACTATTTTTTTTTTCCTTCTTTTTTTTCTTTTCTTTCCTTATCTTTTTTCTTTTTTCCTTCATTTTTTTTCCTTTTTCTCCTTTTTTTTATTTTTTTTATTTTTTCCTTTCTTTTTTCTTTCTTTTATTTCCCTCATTTATTCTTTCTATTTTTCTTTCCTTCTTTCTTTTTTTCTTTTTTCTTTCCTTTTTTTCTTTTCATTTTTTCTTTCCTTTTCTTTTTTTCTTAACTTTTTTTCATTCCTTCTTTTTTTCCTTTTTTTTCTTTCTCTTTTTTTCTTTTTTCTTTCCTTCATTTTTCTTTTTTTTTCTTGTTTTCTTTCCTTTTTTCTTTCTTTTTTTCTTTCCTTCTTTCTTATAGATAATAAGAAAAGTCCTGTCATCATGGAGTCTTCATTCCATGATAACCCTCCTCCTCCCAGGCCCCTTTTTGTTACCATATCCTGTTCTGACTCGGCTTCATTATTGGACCAGTCTCTAGACTCTTCCCATACCCCTGTAGCTTCTACTGGTGATGCTTCATCACCTGCTCCAGGTGCTGGGGCTCCGCCCATTTCTGTTAGTGCCTCTGCCTCTTGCACACCTTTAACTATGCGTCCGGTTTCCCCGAATACGGTGCGATGGTTTTTGGATCCCCCCACCTACCTCGGGTTGGGCCGCCTGCAGTACTACACCTAAATGTTCCAGACCATTTACTGATGACGGTTCTTTGATGTCTACTCATTCTACCCAAAAATGACCTAAATGACACCCACTTCATTTACACACCATATTTACAAGTACGCATTGGACTGAATTCTTTTCCCTACAATTGACATCTCCAACTGATTATCTTTCTGACCATAGTACAGTGGAACCTTGTTTTTCGACTGCTTTGTTTATCAGCCGTTTTTTATTTAGGCCGGTTTTTGGGCGGAAATTTTGCTCCATACTTCGGCTGGTGCCTCATAAGTCGACCATATTAGACCTGTTAGTCTGCCTCTCCTACAGGGACGATGCGCTTTGGTGAGTCAGTTTCTGTGTGTCTCAGTGAGTGAGCATATACTGTACAGGTCTCCCCCCACATTCATGAGGGTTAGGGGATCAAGAACCTCACGAAAGTTGAAAAGTCGTGAATGTTTGGTGCTCAAATATATTGTAGGGAAATATAATAATAGCATTTACTTAGCCTAACAATACTGCTTCCTTAACCTATTGAACCATGAACAATCATAAAATACATGAAAACATCATAAAATATTGTACTATGTGACTTTATCACTGATTCAGTGATTCTATGATATGTATGATACTAAAACAGCACGAGTTTAGATA